GATTTCTCCCAATTGTTTGTGGATTTCCAAGGCTTATCATTCTTGTTCCATGTTGAAGAACTAGTAGCCTTTGACTTGTAGCTTTTGTTTCCTTTGCGCCTTTCTACCTTCAAGGCCATCAAGTAAGCATCTTCCAATCTTTCAAACTTGTGAAGCTCCAAAGCCTCACCAATTTCCTTGTGAAGACCCGCCAAAAATCTAGTGATGACAACTTGGTCATCATCATCAACATCACACCTCAATCTTGTAGTCTCCATCTCTTCATAGTACTCCTCAACACTCTTGCTCCCTCGGTAGGAAGTATGAAGTTTCTTGAGCAACTCATGTTGATAGTAATCGGGCACATATCATGCCCTCAAAGCATTCTTCAAAGCTCTCCAATTAGTTATTGGAGGTTCATTGTGTCTAGCCCTTCTCCTCAACGCTTTTCCCACCATGATGAAGCACTCCCTTCAAATTGAGTAATGGCATACTTCACCTTTTTAGCATCACTTATGTTGTAGATGTCAAAGTGCCTCTGTACTTAGAGTAACCATTCAAGATACTCTCTCGGGTCACTAGTTCCCTTGAAAGGTGGAAGAACTAGTTTGGGAACTTGTAGACCCCTTTCATAATCGTCTAGACCTCCTCTAGGATCTCTAGGATAAGGTTGGTCCTCTAGTGGGTCACCCTCGTCAAAATAGTTGATATCCCCATATTGCTCTTGTACGAACCGGTGACCATGCCCTCTACCTCTTTCTCTCACTCGACCTCTTCCTCTTTCTCGTCCTCTCACGTGGCCTCTTCCCTTTGGTATACTCCATCTCCCCTATATTCTTCATGGAAAACTTGTTGGACATCGGCCAACTCATTCAAGTTGTCCTCTTGATCATGTTGAAAAAGTGGGTTATTCATCAACCGAGGCTCTTGAGGTGGTATGGGTGGTGGGGGAGGGGGATTGTCCCTCCTTGGTGGAACTTGAGGTATATGTTGTGGAGGTAGATTCATTGGTGGTCGAGGTTGGGTCATTTGGGGTGGTGATATTATGGGTATATGTGCTTGAGGTCTAAATGGTAGTTGGTGTGCTTGTGGGTAGGACACTTGGGGTGGTGGAAAGTAACCTTTGTGGGGTCGTAGTGGTGAAGTGTAAACTTGTGGTGGAGTGTGATAAGGTTGAAGTTGAGGTACTTGCGGTGGGGGATGTGTGGTTGGAGGTTGGTAGGGGATAGGTGGTCGGTAGTTTGGTGGAGGAAAGTAAGGTCCCTTTGGTGATGGTGGTTGCCTTAGTAAGTGTTGTGGTATTTGGTTGGGTTGGTTGTGTTTCAAATTTTCGCTATGAAGCATTACTTGTAAAGGAGATGGTGTAGTAGAGGAATTAGTAAGCGTCATACTACGCTCCCTTCCTTGTTGCCTCAAGTGAGATTCCTCTATCATGGAATTCAACCTTGCATCCGTTTGGTGTTGCCATATGGTAATATTGGTAACCTTCTCACTAAAGTTGGTAACCTTCTTGCTTATGTCATAAAGCATAGAAACAACATCATGCATCGGAGTCTCACTCCTTAGATCACAATTAGGACTAGAAGTTTGTCCGTACTCCATGATACCTACAAAACGAGCAAACAAGTTAGTAGTATAAGTCCTCACCAACGCACTTGATGTCGCTCACCAATTGGCTTTTGCGTGCTCAAAATCCTATTCTCTCTTGCCTTCTTTTCCACTCAAGTAGTGAATGTCAAAATTGCTTGCAAACTTAAATGCCCAGGTTTCACAACAAGTTCCAACCGTCTTCGGGGTGGAGTAGAAGTTGTGTATTCAAAAGGACGGACAATTAAAAGCAAACGACTTGAACCAAGCAATTCACAGCGAAATTAAAAGATAAAAGCATGAAAGAAATGGTACGAAACAAAATTAAGCACACAAAGAACTAGGTTAAAACATAATATGGACTAATATCAAGTTTACACTAGTTTAGAATTATCAAACAAGAAGGAAATTAACAACTGGACAGAAAAATTTGGCAGAAAAAAAAAATGGACAAAAGCTTCTGTCAAAATGCTGGAAAAATTGTTCTATGGCCAGAACCCAAACTCAACAAATTTCCTAAACTGTGCAGGCCTCAAATTATGTAGTAGCTGGTGCAAAACCTGTGGTGCCACTAGCAGTCATTAAGCATGTGCAGATTCAGTAAAACTGGGCAGAATCAAGTCAACCAGTGCAGTATTCTCAAACTGGAATAAGCTGGTGCAGATTTGCTGTTCAATTGCTGCTCAAAACTAATCAGGAACAGTAGTTCTGAAGGTTCTGCTCAAGCTATGCAGACTTACAATCTGCAGAAAATAGTCCAAAATTGCAGGGGAACTGTGCAAAAACTATCTGTGCAGAAATTCTTGTCAAAACTTTGCAGATCAGACTATAGCAATTAGCTGGTGCAAACTTATGCAGATTTTGCTGGAACCAGGCAGAAAACTCAACTCAAAAGTGCAGAATTTCAGCTCAACTGTGCAGCTTTTGCAGCTGAAAAAGTGCAGGAACAGGAAAGGAATTGTAGCAACTTTCCAACTGAACAGAGCAGAAGCTTTCAAACTAAAATTGGAATAGGACTGCAGCTAAACTAGTGCACAAAATGTAACTGAAACTAGCCATAAAGTGCATCAAACTGCAGCTCAAGCTATGGAGAAGTGCAGAAATTTTCTGTCCAGCTTGCAGATTTCAGCAGACCAAAGTGCAGAAGTATGGCAACTCAAAACTGGAAATTCAGTAGTGTATTGTTGGCATATAAACTGAAGCAATGCTATTGAGTAAACTGAAGCTAAAACTTGTGCAAAATTCCCTCAGCTGATCAGCAAAACTGCAGTCTAACTGCGCAGAAATTTCAGTCACTATTCGCTTAATGACGCAGCTCACAGATGCAGAATTTCCTTAATACAACTTTAGGTCACAGCACATTGAATCAACTTCATATAATTCTTAGTCAACAAGTGCAGAACAACAGCTCAAATTCAGTTGCTAACAGCTACTATCGACTAAAATGAGTTCGATGAACAATTCCCAACTAAAAATTTAGCAGTAATAGTTCAAACCAACGACAACCTCGAGTCAAACTTACGACTTCAAACTCAATCAATTCCAAAGAATGGAGGTGAAGTCAGTGGTCGCTTCGAATATCCAATCTCAATTCTATCAGAAATTCAAAAATCGAAACAAGTTTAAGCTCAGAGAAATCAGACCTGATGCGTCGAGGAGTTCACAGGCTACGCAACAACTTCAGGAACTCAATCCCAGAATTTCGATGGTTTACAGCAGCTGTTCTTCGAAGTCGTACTTGAACTCAGTCAATACCTTCAAAATGGAGCTCAAATCTGAGCTACACACTCAACATCAAGATAGAATCAATACCCAGTAACTAATTGATTCAAAACAGTATCAAAATCAGAAGACCTAGTCCGTCTTCCCCGGAATTAGTTCGAAAATTTTTGACTCAAAACCCTAGCAAAACAGCTTCAAACGATCTCAAATCTTCAGATTGAGCTTCACACTGATGTTTTCCAACCAGAATCATGAACACCCAATCAAATTCAAACTCAAATCTCAGAATCGGAGCAAAAATCCCCAATATCGCTTCTGCTGGTCGACGTCTTAGGGTTCAGAAGCTCAAACCCAGCTTAATCCAAACTGAAACCAGTAATTACTCGAGCTATGAATCGATCGATGCTCAAATCTTCAGAAGTTTTCAGAATTTTGGAAGTTTTTTCGAACAGTAACATTAGGAACAGTAGCAAAATTCTAATTCTGGAAACAGAACAGAGCACGAATGAACAGTAACCCAAAATAATTCTTCTTTTTTTTTTTTAATTTTTTTTTTGTGATTTTCTGATTTGATGATAATCAAAACAAAACTCAATGATTGATAGACAAATTCTTGACCTCCGCTCTGATACCAAAATGATACAGAATTGTATCGAAAACAAGTATATAGCAAAAATACGCGGAATCAACAATAAGAGTTAAACCTACAATTTATTGGAAAACAAGAACCAATTAGACTATGAAGCCTAATTAACTCTATGAACTCAATCAATTGTAACCCTAAGCTATGAAACCCTCAAGAGATTGGCAACTCTTGAAAACCCGGATAAAGTAATTAAGCATTCACTACTAATTGCTCACCAACTAAGACTAATTTACCACTAATGAAAGCATAAACAAATCAATAAAGTAATTAAAGGCATAAACATAAATGCATTAATTAAAAGATAAGGAAATAGCATGAGACTTGCATGTCTTCAAGTTTTATCATTCATCAAGTCTAATTCTAAAGGCACGAATGCTTAGCTATTTATACTAGTGCTATTTTAGGTACAAGGAATTCCTAAAATAGCCCCAAAAAGTGACTTATAATGCAAATAGCCACTTTGGGTAGAACCTACTCCAAGTTCATCCTCTTGCCTCAATTCTTGGTCTTCAAACCATTGGAACACATTGTAATGTATATGAGACTTCTCTAAAACTCCCTTGGATGCTTCAAGCTTCATAATCAACAATCCAAGATCTTGCAACTCCTTTCCTTGGCTTCTTGTGAATGGTCTAGATGAAGTAGGTGAATGTCGGGGTGTATCAGAACAATACGGAACCATGCTATGGTGGTGATTACACGAAGTGGTAGGGATGGAGTTGCTAGTACCTCTAATCCAAAGAAGATTGTGAGTGATGATGTGTTGGTGCAAGATGATGATGAGTAAAGCAGATGTGCAAGTGAATGAAGAGAATGTGAATGATGAAGTGAGTATAGACATTGATGACAACGTGGAGGAGACACAGAATGATGTGAACCCGTCAAGGGAACACGTGATAGACATACCGGGAACGGTAGTGCCCAAAGCCAAGGCTCCTTTGCCAAGGCCTCCTCCACCATATCCTCAAAGGCTAGCAAAACAAAACAATGAGAACAATTCAAGAAATTCAGTGATATAAAGAAAAGTTTGTCCATAAATGTGCCGTTGGTTGAAGCGCTAGAACAAATGCCGGGATATGCCAAGTTTATGAAGGACTTGGTAACAAATAAGAGATCCGTGAACTTTGAAACGATCAAAATGACACATCAAGTGAGTGCCATTGTGCATTCCATGACTCCAAAATTAGAAGACCCCGGTGCCTTTACTATCCCATGCACTATTGGTAGTGCCGATTTCGCCAAAGCTTTATGTTATTTGGGGGCAAATATTAATTTGATTCCCTATTTTGTGTTCAATACATTGGGGATTGGGCAGCCAAGACCAACTTCCATGCGGTTGCAAATGGCGGACAGGACAATGAAGAGGCCATTGGGGATAATTGATGATGTGCTAGTTTGGGTCGACAAGTTCATAGTTCCCGCAGATTTTGTGATACTTGACTGTGAGGTTGACTACGAGGTGCCAATCATATTGGGGAGACCTTTCCTAGCTATAGGGAAGGCCTTAGTTGATGTGGAAGCTGGGGAGCTCACCTTCCGAGTGGGCAATGAAAAAGTTGTGTTCCATGTTTGCAAGTCAATGAGGCAGCCTAATAGCAATGAAGTGTGTTCGTTTGCGGACCTTGTGACCGAAGTAATTGTTGATGACACTAGTGCTATGATTAATGTTGAAGACCCGTTGCAAGCTGTGTTATTGAATCATGATGAGGATGAAAGGGAAGGCTTGGTAGAACGTGTCAATGCTTTGCAAGGAATGGTATCATATACATATGAGCCCCGAAAACTTTTCTTGGACCATAAGAACCGGAAGACTCCACCAACAAAGCCCTCAATCAAGGAGCCTCCCACATTGGAGTTGAAGCCCTTGCCTTCACACCTCAAGTATGAGTTCTTAGGCCCTTGTTCTACTTTACCTGTTATTCTTTCTGCTTGCTTAACTAACGTGCAGGTAGAATCCACCCTTGCGATGCGCCAAAGGTGGAAGAAGGCAATAGGTTGGACATTGGATGATATTCGGGGTATAAGCCTCGTCTTTTTCATACATAAAATCATATTGGAGGAGGATGCCAAACCCTCCATGGAACATCAAAGAAGGTTGAATGAGGCCATGCAAGAGGTAGTCAAGAAGGAGATCTTCAAATGGTTGGATGTTGGGGTTGTCTACCCCATTTCTGATAGTTCATGGACTTCGCCCGTGCAATGTGCACCAAAGAAGGGGGCATGAATGTGATTACAAATGACAAAAATGAGTTGATCCCCACAAGGACAGTCACCGGTTGGAGGGTATGCATGGATTACAAAAAGCTCAACAAAGTGACCTGGAAAGACCATTTTTCGCTTCCGTTTCTTGATCAGATGTTGGATAGGCTAGCCGGTCGTGCTTATTATTGATTTTTGGATGGGAATTCCGGGTATAACGAGATTCTTATTGCACCTGAAGACCAAGATAAGACCATTTTCACTTGTCCGTATGACACATTTGCATTCTCAAGGATGTTGTTTGGTCTATGTAATGCACTGGCTACTTTTCAGCGGTGTATGATGGCAATATTCACGGATATGGTGGAGGACTCCCTCAAGGTTTTCATGGATGATTTCTCTGTTGTGGGGGATTCTTTTGAAGATTGTTTGGTCAATCTTGATAAGGTATTGGCACGTTGCGAAGAGACCAACTTAGTAATTAATTGGGAGAAATGCCACTTTATGGTTGAGGAGGGCACTGTCCTCGGCCATAAGATTTCCAAGAATGGTATTGAAGTGGATAAAGAAAACACTGAAGAGATATCAAAACTCCCTCCTCCTAATTCCGTCAAAGGAGTGAGGAGCTTTCTAGGGCATACAGGGTATTACCGTCGGTTCATCAAGGATTTCTCAAAGGTGGTGAACCTCTTGTGCAAGTTGTTGGAAAAAGATGCAAAGTTTGTGCTCAATGATGAGTGTATGAAGGCATTTGAGCTACTCAAGTATAAGTTGACTACCACTCCCATCATTACCGCACCAAATCGGAGCTTACCATTTGAGCTCATGTGTGATGCTAGCGACGTGGCGGTAGGAGCGGTATTGGGGCAAAGAATCAACAAGCTATTCCATCTGGTCTACTATGCTAGTAAGGCCATGAACGACTCCCAAGTCAACTATACGGTGACCGAGAAAGAACTCTTAGCTATTGTCTTTTCCATGGAAAAGTTCTGCCCGTACCTCATGGGTACCAAAGTGATTTTTCATACCGATCACGCAGCGATTCGTTATATCATGAGTAAAAAGGACTCAAAGGCTAGATTGATGAGGTGGGTACTTCATCTACAGGAATTTGATCTTGAAATCATAGACCAAAAATGGAGTGAGAATCAAGTGGCGGACCACTTGTCCCGTTTGGAAGAGGAGGGGAGGCCCCATGATGGCCTTGATATCAATGATTCGTTTCCGGATGAACAACTCCTTTCCATGTCTTTGACCGGGATGCCTTGGTTCGCCGATGTTGCGAACTATCTTGTGAGTGGAATTGTCTCGAATGAGTTCTTTTCAAACCAAAGGAAGAAGCTAAAACCGGACTGCTTGGATTATTATTGGGATGAGCCATATCTTTTCAAAATTTGCACCGATGGTGTTATCCGAAGATATGTTCCAGAAGAAGAGCAATTGGGTATTCTTGAAGCTTGTCATTCTTCGCCCTATGGTGGTCACCATGGTGGGGGCGAGAACTAATACAAAGGTCCTAAGATGTGGATTCTATTGGCCTACCTTATACAAAGAAGCTAGCGAGTTTGTTAAGCAGTATGATGATTGTCAGGGAGCCGGTGAGATTTCCAAGAAGAATGAGATGCCTCTTACCACCATCCTTGAGATTGATATTTTTGATGTATGGGGCATCGACTTTATGGGTCCATTTGTGAGTTCATGTGGGAATACCTATATTCTTGTTGATGTGGATTACATTTCCAAATGGGTTGAAGTTGTGGCTTTGCCCAACAATGAAGCACGGAGTGTGGTGGCTTTCTTGAAGAAAAACATATTCACAAGGTTCGGCACCCCAAGGGCCATTATCACTGATGGGGGTTCTCATTTTTGCAACAAAGCCTTTGACACTTTACTCTCCAAGTATAGTGTCACTCACAAGGTGTCAACCCCCTATCACCCCCAGGCAAGTGGATAGGTTGAGGTCTCCAACAAGGAGATCAAGAGTATTCTATCCAAGACTGTCAATGCAAACCGGACTGATTGGTCAAGGAAACTTGACGATGCTTTATGGGCCTATAGAACACCTTACAAGACTCCAATTGGTATGTCTCCATATCGGTTGGTATTTGGGAAAGCATGTCACCTCCCGGTGGAATTAGAGCATAAGGCCATGTGGGCGTTGAAGAAGTTGAACCTAGAGTGGGATGTAGCTGCCAATCTTCGGGTGGAGCAATTGAATAAACTTGATGAATTCCGGTTCCATGCTTACTCCATTTCGTCATTGTACAAGGACAAGAAGAAGTACCTACATGATAAGTATATCCGAAACAAAGAATTCAAAGAATGTGACCTTGTTCTCTTATTCATCTCTCGGTTACGGATGTTTCCGGGAAAGCTAAAGTCAAAATGGAGCGGTCCCTTTGAAGTGGTGCATGTGCTCTTTTTGGTGCTCTAGATTTGAAAAACAAGAATGGTGAGATCTTTAGAGACAATGGGCACTGAGTAAAGCACTACCTTGGTAAGGTTGATGATGGCCACGTTGTGGCCTTGATCCATTTCAAGTGATGATGGTAACATGCGTCGTGCCACGACGTTAAATCAGGAGCTTCTTGGGAGGCAACCCATGTGTTTTTTTTTCTTTGATTTTCTTCTTAGATTAGGCATTTTTTTGGACTAACTGGTTGTGAAGTGTATGTAGGAATTGGTTGTGCAAGAAATTTGACAGGAAAAATTTGGCTAAGTGTTGGAAGTTCGCGGACCGCGCCCAAAATTTTGCGGTCCGCGTTCATTGACTATGAATTCAACCTATTTTCCTGGTTACTTCTTTGCTTAGCATGTCTAAATTCGGTCATGTTCAATGTATAACTAGTATGTCTACACTTCACCTGGTTATCTGATACTTGACCAGCCTGTTTGTTGATTTCTGTTTAATCCCTTAACTATGTGATCATGTTGGTTACTTAATGTATGTGATTGACCCTACTTGTGTGTCTGATTCTATCCACTACATCCCTGCTCCAGGTCTCAATTGCCTATTATCCTGGTTAACTTGTTAAGGCTATGAAGCTCCTGAGTGTTCCATGCATTTGTTGTTCCCCTGTACCATGTTCATGTACCCTCAATGTGATTCCTATATGTTCCCAATCTCTTTTACCCCTGTGTGCAAACCTGCTTGCTAAGTGCCTGTGAATCTGAGTATTCTATGATTGATTGGTTGTTTACTGAATCTTCTCTCTTCAGAACTGATTTCAAAAATTGTTCTTAGTATTCTTATAAAACTGGTTTTCACTCTTAGCATCTCCTTAAAACTGGTATATTTCAGAAAATCTTCTTTTTCACTCCTAAAAGTCATCTCCACACTATTTTAGGAATCCCCTGAGATTCCTCCGAACTCTGGCACACTAGGGCTGGCCCTTCCATACTGCACATAACCAGTCCCTATTTTGAGAAAGGTCTTGGTGTGAGCACTGCCCGAGATCCTTGAGGTCCTTAGGGAACTCTGACACACTTGGGACACTTATTGGCTATGATATTCTTGGCACTTGTAACTGCATTGAAGGCCCGGTACTCCCAGGTTTACTTTGGTCCTGCTTCAGGCTCCCTATAATATAAGTTTACATTTCATTTATGTAATTTACTCAATCCTGGTCTGTAATAATCTTTGTAAACAGATATTGGGGTAACTAGTAAAAAGGGAGGGTAGCTATATGATTCTATGGGGTAAACTGGGTAGAAACCATGTTTTAGGTTTTACATTATGTTGAGTTGCTGTAGAAATCAAGTTCCAGGTTTGTGTGATGCATCAGATATCATGCTTTAGGATTGCTATGCTTATTCACATTAAACCATGATAAATTTGTGCATTAGATACACTGTCTTAGGACAATCATGTTTACTACTTCTGCATATTACATGTTATAGTTCATCACTTCACTTCTGATTCTGCATAAGTCACTATCACTTAGAAATCTTGCTATTAAGTTAATAATACTGCTCAATAAAATGACCATCTCTATGTGCATTAGAAATCCTGCCTCAGGACTCTGTTTGCATCTGCTTTAAATCATGTCTATATTTCCTAAATAAACAACTGGTTATAAAAAAGTTTAAAACAGTCCCAACACATAGGTATCACGTCCTACTATCAACATGCCTAAAATCAGTTTTTGTCACTTAGATCAGCATGCTTATAGGACTAAATAACTTCAAGCTGTTTAATTAATTCCCAGATCATGACTGCATACAGACACACGCCTAGGCAAGCCTTAGGTCATTAAATAACTGTAAAATCAGGTTCTGGTTTATGTGTGAAATTATCCAGGCTTAATAGGCTCTAAAACTAGTAGGCAAGCTGGTTAGGATTCTGCCACTTCCGCTTAAAACAAATGTTGCATATTCTGTATCTGTAATGTTCATCTAGATATCATGTTCCTAGGCTTTCTGAATTTCTTTAAAATCATATGTTTGAGACGTGCTATGTATCTGTTTATGTGTGGAGGCAAACATGAGCCCTTAATTGCTTCCCTATTTGACAACCCTATGTGTTCTTTGTTGTCGCTTAGATTTTATCTTTTAAATACCTTAGGAGTGTCTAGAACTGCCTAAGTATAGGGGTCCTAAATGCCTCCGGGACCACTAGGAAGGGATGGGTAATGCACGCTTAGAGTTTGTTAATTAAACTCGCTTATATGACCATTAAGGGGAGGGTAATGGGTAGTAAAGGATATGATGACCTGCGCGCTAATGTCACGTGTAGCCCCTCTAGTTGAGGGGATTACCGGGCATTGCACAGATTGATCCTATAGGCTAATCAACTTAGGACTTACCTTTCCCCAAATCA